TGTAAGTTCTAAGGATCTAACACCCGCGTGGCCGTGGGCACCGGGTCCCACCAGCCCAGGAGCACCGTGCTCCCCGTCCAGCCTGGGCCACTGGGCAGGGTGAGCCACGCAGCCCGGGCAAGGCGCAGGGAAGGGCAGGGCTGCCCGAGTGCCCCCCGCTGTTGGTCTCTTGGCCACCCGTGCCTCAACCTCTCCCTCGCCCCTGGGGCCAAGGGACAGCCAGCTCTGGAGGGCGTGGAAGAGAAACCTTCAGTGATGGTTTGCTCCTTCCACCCCTCCCTCCCAGCACTTTTCCAGAGGCTGCAGCATGATGGCAGGACAGATGCCCCCCTCTTGGCCATCCTGCTCATCCTGGACAGGCAGAAGCCCCCAGACCCACAAGACAGCCATGACCACGAGGAAGGGCCAGGACCAGGGACTCCCATCCTACAGGAGAGCCACATCCCACAGGGTTGGGTCCTACCCAGCGCTGCGGGTGCCCTGCTGTGAGCACGCACTGCGAGCTCCTGGAGCTCCTTCCTGATGCGGGGGGAGGCCAAGGGCCGGTGAGCAGCTGGAGAGGTGGATGTGTGCGGAGCTGCTACGTTTGAGCTCACACAGGACCAGCTACACCAACAGCCGGCAACCGTCCAACAGACAGGGCTGCGTGGAAGGTGGGTATGAGGGTGTGAGAGGGACATGGACCCCAACACTTTTTCCCTGGAGACAAACCATGGTGTGAGCCCAGCAAATGCTTTATTGCCAAGGACAGCACTTCCCTCAGCCACTGGGCAGCAGAGACGGGGGCTGCCTCACTGTGTCCTGTGCCAGGTCAGTCTACATGGACAAGAAGGTCCCAGGTGCCAAGAGCCAGCCCTGGCACCGACTGCCCCACCCAGGGCCACACAGGGGATGGAGAGAGCTGGACAGCCCAGCCTGTGGGACAGGGACGCTCAGCGCCGATGCACTGTGGTGTGCTGGGAGGCCACCAACCCGAATACTGCCAGGCCGGGTGGTCTGCAGCCAGCCTGGGGATGTTGCTGGCTCCCCAGCAAAGGTGGAGGGTGCTCAGCAAGCAGGAACAGTTGAGGGGTGAATGGAGGGGCCCTAATGCCCAAATCTCCCGAGATGGCAGAAACACCAAACTATTGCCCAAGAAGTCTCACAGCCCAGCGCCCTGCACACATCCCAGTGACATCCTGCTCACCCCCAGGCCATGTCCCCCATTGTGTGAACCTGCCCTGCTCCAGGTGCCCCCCTGCTCCCCCTCCCTCAGGCCGAGGCTGCGCAGGACAGCCGGTCCCGTGGCACTGCTTCCCGTGCCTGCACCCAGCGCTGCATGCTCAGAGGAGGCGTCCCAGGAGCTGAGCGCTGGGGGAGCTGCCCCAGGCCACTGGCAGGGCCACCGGCACGGCGACGA